AAATGATTCAAGTTCAAAATTTCGGCAAAATTTCAAAATTTACTAAAGAAGAATTTGACCAAATTAATGGACGACTTGCGCTTTAGACTAAATTTTAATCTAAGTAAGAACAATGAAATTTATCACCACAGCTGGAAAAAGCGTCTTGGAATTAGTAATATTACAAAGTTTGGTTGCGAAATGTTGTAAAATACGGAAAATATAGCCCTTCAAAGTTGGCAAATTTGTATACTTTTGTATTACGTGCGTGAATTGTTAACTAAATTAGTTACCAATTTCCGCACGTAATAGAAATGTATACAAATTTGCCAACTTCGCAGGGCTATATTTTCCGTATTTTACAACATTTCGCAACCAAACTTTGCAGTTTTTCTAATTTTGATAACTTCTTTCAGATAATATCCTTTGTTATTCCCAGATTAAAAATTTTTCTAAAGCGTAAGTCGTCCATTTCGCCCTCACCTCGGTTTGATAAACATCCGTGGTAACAATATACACACCGCCATGAAGACCCTGGGGACGGAATTGATCAATGTATTAGAAGCTTGAATAAGTGTTAGCTTAATGCATGTAAATACAGGGCCGTAACTAGAGGCGATAATGGTGTGTGTGTGTGTGTGTGTGTTGCATATTCATATATGTTCACATACCATAAAAATACTCGCTTTCAAAAGAAATCAGTAGGGCAGAACATGAGTATATGAATATGCAACACCCCCCCCCCCCAATTATCGCGTCTATAGTTACGGCCCTGTGTAAATGTGTTCGTCAAAAACAACAGTATTATCTTGGCTTCGACAAGTCGAGTAGCTTGACTAAGTTACAGGGACGCCGGAACTGGGGAGGCAGGAGGGGCAGCCGCCCCCGTTGCCCTTTACCGGGAGGGGCAAGGGGGGCAAAGGTGCCCTTTCAATTTAAAAGATTGCCTTGGCGAAATAGCGAATTGTCAGAAATGTTAGTGCAATTCTTCTACGAGCTTCAAGAATAGCACAATCGCCTGGCGGAGAACCCCCTCACATCCCTATCATTCAATAAATAGAAAACAGGATTAGGCGAAGTTCAACTCCCGATGTTTTGCAAACATCTCTTAGTATATATCAATTCAAAAGTGCCCTTTCATGAAAATCTGCCCCCCCCCTTGCCTTCACATTGTCCCGGCTAAGTTTAACTTATCCTGAAAACGCACTAACGTCCGGGTTTTGTATATAGGCTATAGTCAGTTTCGTTAATCGCTGTTGGCATCTCCTGTTACACAAGATACCATTCAAATTCGATTTTTTACCAATTATTATCTCTAAAATTTTTACCAAGATTTTACTACAAAATTGTCATTACTAGTTACTCTCATCACTAGTCTGGCGGCTCCACCCACCAACATTTTTGAGGCGTACCCCTTCCTCTCGGCTTTGGAATAAAAAGTAGGACAGTGTTTTTGGACGAATTAAAATTCATATTTTTTCCAAACACTTAAGTTTTATACTGTCCTTTAAAATCAATTCTGATTGTAATACTAAGTCATTAAGTCTTGCGACAGTTCCATCCGAGGTTCCATCATCTTACCAGGTTTCTGTTCCTACAAATATATCTTATTTTATTCACTATAAAGGAAAGGTAAGCACATCAATAAATATTCATTCTACACGTCCATAGAAGACCAGACGATATCGTAACGATGCCCAAATTTGTCCGCGGCCCATAAATTTTTCGCCGGGAATTCGGACGGTCAGGTGTGTCAAATTCATTCGCTTTCACGCGTTCCTGCAAAATTTAATCTCGATTTTGTGTGAACATTTGATCCTTTGTACCTTAGTTTTACATATTTTCACGTGTTTCGTTGCTGTGCATAACCATAGGGACTAAGCGATAGGTTCTGAATTTGAATTCAAACCCGTGACAGACGAGCAGGTTTTCCTTGACAAGTTTCCTTATAAACAGTTTACCTTTGCGTGCACAGTCAACAAGACTTCAAAAGGTTCGTTGCTCGCCTCATATGCACGGAATGTTGTTAAACATTTATCTCACGTCAAGACCACCTTTTGTTCGCCAAAACCATAGAAGTATTTCTTGTACACTAGTGTCAAGTTTTCCTTGCAGGCATGACAGCTGCATGGCATGGGAACATAGATATCTTATATACATTAGATAGCGCATCTCTTTCAGTAAAATTGAAGCCAAGAATATTCCAGCGGTTACCCCCATTTGAATAGATGGCGGCCATGTTGGAGTTTCCCACTCGTTAATAAACGCTTAAAAAACAACAATAACTTTCATCATTTGAATGTTTTGAAAATGTATTTGGAATTGGTTTAACTTAATGTTTAAGTTCCCTGTTTAAGAAATAGAAAACATACGAGTCTTCTCATTTCATGGGAATATCCTGAGTCTGCAATCACGGCTTCAATTTTTGAATTGCAGACTAATTAGATGCACTACCTAGTGTATATAAGATATCTATGCATGGGACCAAGACCCCTTGGCAAGAAAAAATGTAATTTTTTCGCCGTACACACGAGCAAATAAACGGCTTTTTAATTAAGAAAAACCTGTCAAGGAAAACTTGCTTGTCGGTACACAGGGCCTTACTCCTTTAGGCTTACAGCCAGGAGGACTTTATAACAACTCTTAATTACTTTACACACAGAAGTGTGAAAATGAATTTACTGCCTTAGAGAGAAATCGTATGTGAACATGTACACACCTAAAGATTCGATAGTTTAAATGCGAAGCCTATATGTGAAGATATCATTTTATAACGATGTTGTATGCGTGTTTATTTTCTTACAACACTCAACAGTAAACGCTGATGCTTAATTTTCTGTGTTAATGATGTAGTACACTCTTCTGGAAAGTAGATCTCTTGGCTAGCTTATATATAGCTATTGAGTCTCGTTTTCACTGTTCAGATGTTGGGCTATGAGTAAATGTCAAATACACGAAAATCTGTTTGCTTTGTTAAATTTTATTTTTGACGGCTTAACTTGAGATTATATTTGTTCACACTTTCATGGATGCAGGCGGTTAATGAGTAGGAGTGCATCCGGCGAGGGAGCCGAAACGATTTGTTCGTCCAAACAACTTATGTCTTATACGAAAAGAATAGTCTCATTAATAATTTTGTGCGCTTGCCAACAAAATTCATAACTTCAAACTTATGCTTTCCAAAATGCATCCTATTTTATATACTGTGAGCTAAATATTGTCAAAATGGCACGAAGAGAAAGAAGAACCCAAGGAGAAAGAAAAAAAAAATCATGCAGCACACAATCGAGAAAAAAAAATATCATGCAAAAGAGAGCGCTCAAAAAAAAATTTTCTACATGTAACTCTACTGATGCCTTCACTTCAGTATTGTGTCCACAGGCTTGCAAGATTTTGCATTTTTGAGCAGGCACATTTGCTTAAAAGAACACGGGGTGAACAGTGGATAACATCACAGGGATTCTACCGCCTTTGGAGCCTCTGACATACGATAGCCAGTGGTGTTCCCTGGCAAAATTGTTGCCCCCCCCCTGAGAAAATCTGGGCTTAAGATAATTATCCATGGCTGAAACACACAGGAAATAGCATTTCCGAGGTTCAAATTTTAAAATTTTTTCGGGGGAGCATGCCCCCGAACCCCCCAAGGTTACAGGTCATTCATATACTGTACCCTCCCCATTTTCGAGTACTCTACTCTATCCCTGCATGTTTTAGGTTTTGGTGCAGTTATACATTCTTTGTAAGTAAACTTGCACGCTTTAGTGTGGGGAACATTAAGACATAACCATATAAAATAAAGCACAGTGAAAATTCCTTGGCCCCCCTTGGGATTTAGTTCTCGGCCTCCTCTGACTGAAAACCCCTGCTACGTCTCCGATGATAGCTATATGAAAGCCTAAAGTTACTGTAAGCCGTTATTATGAGAGGCAAAAAAAATATCCTGCGGCCAAATATATTGGGAAAAAAATATCTTGCGCTGCACTTTTACAGGAAAAAAATATCTGTCTCATTCGCCTGGGCGGAAAAAAAAATGCTTGCACAGACTGAATCTTCCACCCCTCCCCCCCCCCCTCAAAAATCAAATGGTCCGCCCCTTACTTCTGTTGCTACAAATATCTCTTATTTTATTCACTAAAAGAAAGGTAAGCACATCAATAATATTTATTCTACAAATACAATTCTACACGTCCATGGAAGACCAGACAATATCAGAACGATGCACAAATTTGTCCGGTCCATAAATTATTCGCCGGGAATTCGGACGTGTCAAATTCATTTGCGTTCATGCGTTGTTTCATCTCGATTTTGTGTGAACATTTGATCCTTTGTACCTTAGTTTTACATATTTTCACGTGTTTCTTTGCTTCTGTATGTTATGAGATTAAGCGATAGGTTCTGATTGAATTTAAACCCCCTGACAAACGAGCAGGTTTTCGTTGACAAGTTTCCTTAAATTAAACAGTTTACTTTCTCGTGTGGGGAGTATCTATTTGGAGCGGGTAGCGGGTCGCGGGTCAAAGGAGCGGGTCGCGGGTAAAAGGAGCGGGTAATTAAAAAAGGAGCGGGTAAAGGAGCGGGTAATTTGAAAAG